AAAATATATAATAATAATAATAATAATAAGACTTAATTGTCCGAAGAAAAAATCTTGTTGACAAGTGTTGATAAGTGTAAACTGCAGAAATATCACAAAAAGAAGATATTTGATGTAAATAATTGCCCGTTTCTTCAACTCAGTAGGTGTGATGATACTAGTATCGTGCTTGCCTTGCAGGTCAAACTTTTTTCCACTTCCGGAAAATATGAACGAGGTGTCATTCGATCTGAAATAGCACGTAGATGTTTTTTGAAAATAAACAAATGTCACTTGCAAATATTACGAAAGTAACAGACAATTACCTGAAAAAAATCGGGTTTGGGTTTTTACAATATCTCAAAAACATTTTGACATTTTTCAGCTTGAACTTATGGGCTGTAGAAATGTCAAATATGGCTTGAAGATCGTTATTATTAATGACTGAGCAGATGTTGAATCACGAAAAGAGAAATATAATTGGGTGCTGCCTACATTGTGATGTATATTGCATTTTTTTCACCAGCCGATGAAAATCACAGATATACAAGCTGATAACCAGAGGCCCAAGGTTAGATCCTTGCGGAACTCCCTTTGATTCCGATATAACTCCCGAGAAAAACCAAATTGAACAAATTTGACACACAATATCTCGTGATCGAGAGCGTCAAAAGCCTTGCTAAAATAAAGAATACTGATCAGGTTAAATTCTCATCATCTATAGCTCAAAAAAATCTTGCGAGTCAAAACTGATTCACCCTTTTCAACAAATAATGTTCATATGCGACTTACACTGAGAACACAATGTAAATTATTTTTTAAACTGCAATATACAAATAACATATCTGTATGAGGGTAATATACAGTATAATATTATAAAACATACAAAATATGATATTCAAATGTGATTGACAATGTTTCATGATGAATTTCATTAGTTTGGACTTCCATTGTCAAATATTATATAAAAAGATTTGAACTCCCTAAGAAAACCAAACAAATTAAAAATTTAAAAGAATAGCTGAAAATAACCATTATATTAGGCAAAATAAACCTAGTCACGTTAGTTCACGACGTTTCGATTGTTAGTATCTACAATCGTTTTCGGGTGATGACTGGACTGATTCCTCCGAGAAATGACTATTTAAAGGTNTATTTTCAGCTATTCATTTTTATTCTTTTTTAGTTGTTTCCGGGATTTCAAATCATTTTATATAATATTAGACAATGGAATTCGGAACTAAAGAAATAATATTCAAATATTGAGTAAAGAAGATCAATCAGTCTCATGACTCGCCCTAGATGTTATGTTTCACATTCATGATTGTTCAAACTTGTTGCAAGATATTGAGAGTTATTTTTTTCGACCGTCAAGGAGAGAATGGATTTTTTTCTAATGTTCTGCTAGGAGGAGAAAATAGAGCTCAGGAATACCCATGCTAATCATCTAAAAATTTCGATGTCAAGAATTCAGTTTATTTGAAAAGTACTTAAAAAATCAATAACTGGTCAACATTTGGGTCAACAACAATGAATTTTTTTTTAAATCTGGGCTTGTAATAGGAAGAGAATTATCTATTTATTCGTTATTCCCAAACGAAACTTTCCGGAAAGAAGGATTGGTAAAAGTGGTCCAGTAGACAATAGAGTGGTCAGATTATCAACCACTTTTATACGAACTTTTTTGGTATAAAGTTACTTGAATGACATTTGCCTAAGTGAAACTTCAGGATTCGTATATTCATATGCACGTAAATGTAAAGTCAATATATTGATAAACGTGTTCGATTCGCTTAGAATCATTAAAGATATATATCATAGCCTATGTGTAAGTATCACTTTCATGTTTAACATCATTTTGGATTTATTGATTCATAAATTACTTTTTGCAATAAAAGACGATTTGAGACACGAATGAATATATTCGAATGTGAATATTTTGCTCAAAATGTTTTCATGTGAAACACTTGATGTAGAACCTTCAAGTTATCTTCCTGAAATTTGTTGAACTTTCGGTATTTTCCAAATTCTTGTAATTTCAGAGATGTTCTGAAAGTTGGGGTCCCTAACACCACCGACTTTGTTTTTTAGGACTAGACTTTTCATAGGCCCCGTATAGTTCTTGTTCATTCAAATTGTGTTCCAAGGAATCCGTTGCATATAATTCCGTCTCAGAATAAAGAACGCCAACAGTGACATTACATTTGTTTCTCGATGTTCAGCTCCAACCAAATCGTTTTTCATCAGTAGGTATAATGTCTACCTTAAATGGCTGGTCCTATCGCTAGTCCGAATTTAGTAACAAAGACCATTGTTCGCTAAACGAATGCGTTTTATTTTTGGAAGGTAAGCTCGTTGATCTCACGAGGAAGAAAAACAAAGCAAATGGTGTCTGTGCGGGTTTCACCAAGATTTTGACTTTGTCAAACTTTATAATAAATAATTTTGAGGGATAGACTTGGTTTCCGATTACCAAACTAATAACAGTGATTAGTTTATATACATTACTTTCGTCATCTTTGAATTGTTACACAATATTTAACGATACTTGTACTCGTATGAGAGTTGAATGAATCTTTTTCGGTATATAAGTACCCAAAATGTTTCGCAAAATATCATAGTGACAACTGGGTGAGATATTTTCTTTTTTTCAATGGAATTAAAGGTCCACTGATATCTTATTTTCAATGTTCTTATATTTGATTTAACCCCAAAACAACCAAAACGATTTCGCCATTCTGAATTGATAGTCATATCGATAATTTTTTACTTAACCTCAAATTTAACAGTTCATTTTTTCGATGAAAATTTTTAGAAGTTGTCAATATTTCAAACCTTTGATTGATTTGAAGAGTAATTTCCATGAGTAGTTACGTGGTAGGACGGTAGCCGGGTCGGGTTGATATGGTTGGCTTGCTCCACTTACTCAATCGACTGCTGCGTGAACCGGTGGTTCAAGCCGCGAAGCCGGACGATCCATTTTCCCTTGGTATCATTCAATACGTACTAGGAATCACGCATTGACATAAACAAAATCATTACAAAGATATCCGCCCCTAAACTGAAAGTTTTCGAGACGGCTAATAACAGCAAATACGACAGAATCTATTCACGACATTTCACTAATGTGGAGGACGATACTGAATTTTGCAAGATTTGAGCGCAGAAGATCGTAGAAAAACCTGTTCTATTGATGAAAGCACTCCTTCCTTATGGGAAAAGCTGACACTCGTAATTGTTTCGCATACAAACGTACTTCAATCCAAGAAATAGAGATGAATGTGGATCGTGGTTCCACAGAGTGGCCGGCCAGATCACTCGATCTTTCGTCTCTTGATCTTTCATGACTTTTTTTTGTTTTTTTTAAGGGGTTAGGATTTTCTTTTGTCAGAAAGTGGGGAAATTTCAGATTTTTATTATTTCTGTGATCAGGTTATTATAACATTTTCATTGTCATTGTTTTATATGTTTTATTGAATCATCATCAGTAGTTTCTTCAACTAGATTCGACAG